AGCCAAACCTTCAGTAAGCGGTACTTCCGTGTTCTGCTAGCGGGCAGTAAAACAGAATTTTCTGCGTGCGCTCGTCAAAAAAGCGGCCACTGCGCCGCAGGCAATCTAGAAAAAATCCGCGATTGTTCTCTGAGCGTTATTCTAGAAAATTGTCGAAGATCTTCCAAAAATCTACAAGCAGACCGCAAGAAATCAGCGCACTATCTTTCCGGTGCTCGCTTGCCTATAAATCGTATGACTGCCTACCCTCAGCGATTTCTTTGAGCAAGTTTGAGGTACTTTTTCTTAGCGGAAATTACCTAAGGACTGTGCGGTCCTTTACAAAAGACCGTGCGGCCCTCAACAATTCTGCACATTCTCGTGGGAAGTGCGCGGGAATGCGGCCACTGCTCCGCAACCAGTTTATGAAAAAGCCGCGATTGTTTCCTAAGTGTTTTCTAGTGAATTGTCGAAAATCTTCCAAATGTCTGCAAGCGGACCGCAAAAAATCAGCGCTACTTTTCCGGTGCCCGCTTGCCTAAAAATCGTATGGCCGCCTACCCCCGGCAATACTCTGAGTATGCGTAAGTAAACAAATCAAAAATTGATAGAAGGGCAAAAATTAGCCTAACCATTCTCCCTGTGTTTCATTTATAAAGGTGTCAAGCAACATAGGTTAGCGAAGAGAGTCTACAAGTTAACTCATACATCTCAACACTCGTAGCCTCTCAAGACCGGTAGTAGTCTACAGCGGATGACGGCATCACGGATGCGGCACATTGGCACGACTCACGCAAGGTTGGTGATTTGAACGTCTAATGTTGCCGGAAAACAGCTGCAACGTGAACGCTTGAAAATATATTGACCTCGAGTGCGAGAGCACTATAAGACTGAACTTGAGGTCTCGTGGATTTTCAGAACAGTAGTAGAAATGAAGAAGCAAGTGGCTCTCAGTGCTCATGTGTGGTAAAATTGGTGTGAAAGAAGCAGCTGTTCGACGTGAACATCACGAGGAAATATAAAGAGGTTTGAAAGGAAGCGTAAAAAGAAGTCATTGCTCAACAGAGACTAGCAGTAACCTTTTCTACGCGTATCAGGTGAAAGCGAGTACCACTTTGAGCTCATTTTTATGGAAAGTACTTTGAAAATTGTTAAACCATCATGTTACATTAGTTCTCATACTCTCTAGCTGCCAAAAACTGCCACGCGAATACGCTGGGATACGTCGGCAAAGCCACGCCCGCTCTACTGTGGGGAAAG